ATAATAATTACACAGAACACGCTCATTATTCTATGTAGAAATATCTGGATGTTAGAAAAAAGAAAAACTAAAATCAAATATAAACACAAAAAAAATAATGACAAGAGTTTGGTTAGAATGGTGAGTTTGGGAGATGAGTACTTTTTTCCTTTTCTTTAAACTCTCTGAATTAGGGTATTTTAATTTCATTCTTTAAAAATAAATTTCAAATCTGGAATTAGATAGTGGTGATGGTTGCACAACTCTCTGAATATACTGGAAACACTGAATTGTACTTCAAAAAGGTGAATTTTATAGTATATGAATTATGTCTCAATAAACCTGTTATTTCAAAAAAAGTAAAATTTAAAGTGAAAATACTACACTGCATTCTTTGTTAATTTCTCATGAACTCTTATCTTAAAAATTCCACAGGTAGTAGAACATATAAAAAATATAGCATGACAGGTCTCTTTCTGACACCTTGCTGTTGGCAATGTTATAGGATGAACATACAGTTGAAAGTGACTTCTTAAAGTATCATGAAACAACTGTCAGCATATTAAAAAAATTTGGAGTGAATTTCTCCTAGGGCAACTTACAGACCCTGGGTAGTATGATCTATGCTCCCACTTTGCTCATTAGAATTAATAATGTTAGTACTGGCAGAGAGAGTATCGTTAGAGATATCTATTCCTTTTTTACCCATTCCTTCTCTTTCTATTCTGGCTTGGCTTCTGGGGTCCCAGCTGGTGATTACTGACAATTTCACTGTGCCACCACGGCTCCCTGTTGAAGTACTTCATATAAAAAAAAAAGTTCTAGGTTAATTAAAAAGCCACAAAGAATGAAATAAATTAATTCCATTTATCACCAGCATAATGTCATGGACGAGAGCTCTCTGGGGGCTGGTTATTCTACTAGAATTTTCTATTTCAATGCTAAGCCTCAAAGGAAGGGAAAATTCACAAGTATTCCATCTAGGATGTTAAAAAAGATGCCAGAGTAAGTATCAAGATAAAAGTGAAACTATCTTCCTATGATGAATTTGCTAAAAGTAGACTTCTGAACGTTTTAAAGTTTCTTCTACTCTCTGAAATGAATAAGGAAGACCGCAGAAGAATTGATGCCTTTGAATTATGGTGTTGGCAAAGAATATTGAATATACCATGGACTGCCAGAAGAATGAACAAATATGTCTTGAAAGAAGTACAACCAGAAGGCTCCTTAGAAGTAAGGATGGAGAGACTTTGTCTCACGTATTTTGGGTATGCTATCAGGAGTGACCAGTCCCTGGAGAAGGACATCATGCTTGGTAAAGAAGAGGGTCAGCAACAACGAGGGGAAGACCCTCAATGAGATGGACTGACACAGTGGCTGCAACAATGAGCTCAAACATAGTAAAGATTGTAAGGATGGCAGAGGACCAGGCAACGTTTCATTCTGTTGTGCATGGGGTCGCTGTGAGTTGGAACCAACTCAACAGCACCTAACAACAACAACTCTTTGAAAGAAAATACAAAAATAAGATCCACTTTATTCCCAAATATGAATGGGAACAACAGTATCACAAAATATTTCAGCGTTACAGCAGTCTGGTCTATGTGGAGAGCCACTACCCCCAACTTGGGATCCTAAAAGTCAGAAGTTTAAATTAACTTTCAGTGACATGAAATTTGTCCTCGGAAGTTCAGGGAAGAGAAAACTTTCCGGAAGACAACTTCAGAAGGTCTTAGAGAGAGACGCATAAATACATTAGCATTTGTTACACTGGAAACTAAGGACATAATGAAACGTCAGTTTCTCTCTCGCCAAGTCTGTTCCTCTTACCTAAATTAACTTACTGCTAAAAGCATTAAAAAGGCACTATTCAAATAAAAATATCTGTATAGCCAAAGATTTGCAAGTCAGAGCTAGTGGCCTGCTTTAAATAATTACTGTTGTTGTCAGGTGCCCTCGAGTCAATTCCTCCTCATAGAGTTCCCATGTGACAGAGTAGAACTGCCCCATAGGGTTTCCTAGGCTGTAATCTTTACAGCAGCAGATGGCCAGGTCTTCCTCCCACAGAGCTGCTGGGTGGGTTGAACTGCTGGACAGGTTGAACCACAAACTTTTCAGTTTGCAGCCAAGCACTTAACCACTGCGCCACCAGGGTTCTTTGCTTTAAATAATATCTGCCACAAATATCAGAATTTCTTCTACTTTCAGTTTGCTACCTCTGATGATATTGTTGTAGGCTATATTTCATTTCAACTGGTTCTTTGTTCAGACCATCTTCCCATGGCAGTGTAACTTGGGAGGGGTTATCTGTGACTGAGGCAACCCTCTTCAGGAATGGTCTTACCTGCTCAAAGCCAGGCTATGGGGGCTGACCTAACTCCCCAAATGCCAATCTGTTCTGGAAGAAGTAAGATGGAGCCCACCAAACCACACACACACAAAAAAAAAAACCCTCAAGGCCGATTAAAAAATAGGGGAATCTACTCAATGAATGAAAAACACAGACAACTTGCTACTGAACATTAAGAGATCTGTAACTGCCCAGATTTTACTAGATTTTAATCACCAATCACCAAAAACGTAGTACCCTAAGGTTAATACTTCGGTCTCTTTTTAAAATATATTATCTTTTTCTATGCCATGGATTTTCCCCTTCAACTTGAAATGCATGCATTTTTTTTCTTGTTTGTTTGTTTTAAAGTCAAAATGAAGAAGGGACAAATATCCTTTTTTCTGTTACATGGACACTAAAAGGACATGGTCATGGCTTAGAAAAACAATACTTCTAGAGGAACATAAAGCACTGCCTGGAGCTCAGTAGGTAATGAAAAACTCTCACAAATAGAGAATAAGGGCTCTTCTTTTGAAGGCTTACGCTTTTACTTCTTTGTGAATACTAAGTAGTTCAGTGTGTACTTTCTTTTTCATTTTCCTTCTATTTTTTCTCTTATTTCCATACTAAACCCTACCCTTAACCTCCACCCAAGGAAGTATCTTGCTGTGTAGTGGAAGAGTAGGTATGAGATCATTCCAGGTCTGTTTGTTCCCAGACTAAATGCTAGAGTCAACTTCTACCAAAGACCTAGGGCTCTTTCCTCTGTTCTTTTTGAGATTCGTGGTCAGTGGGCTACACATTTCTGATGTCTCAAAGAAATGATAGTTTAAAATATATGGCAGATAAAATGTGTGTGTGTGTTCCCTTTAATCCCTCTAGAAAATGAAATCTGGCTTATTTAGGGTTTAAACAAGAGATACTGGAGAAATCAACTCCTTTATGGCTCAAATACCAACAAATAACTGTAGAACTGTGCAGATAAATGACACAGCAAAGTAAATTTGTGATTTCTAATATGGAAAAGTAAGAAATAACATAGTCAAGGGAGTCATTTAATCAAGGAAAATAAAATACATTTTCTAAAAAACAATTACATAATAAGGAAAATAAGGAGGTCTAACAGACTTTGTAACCTCCCTAAGAATGTGATTAAAATGTCATTGTCCGAGTCACAGAAAATTGCAGCAGGGCCAGGCTTTCATAAACGCACTGTAAAGTCACATATTGGCAGGAAGGTGTCTGAAGGTGAGGTGGGGGTGGGGAGGGAGGAACAGGAATTTAGTGCTAGCATAATGCAGAATATCTTCCATAGCTCTAGTTTATCCTAATTATAGTTTTTACTATTCTAGGAAGAAAAGTATATAACATCCAAATAAGCTGATTTTCAAGTCTACTTTTTTTGTGTGTGTGTTTTAGGTGAAAGTTTACAGAGCAAATTGGTTTCTCATTCAAAAACTTATACCCAGATTGTTTTGTGGCATTGTTTGCAACTGTGTCAGCACTCTTCCCCCTTTCCCTTTCCACCCCGGATTTCCTGATTCCATTTGCCCAGTTTTCCTTCCCTTCTTGCCTTCTGGTCTTTGTTTTTGGGCAGGTGTTGCCCATTTGATCTTGCATACTTGATGGAACTAAGAAGCACATTCCTCATGTGTGTTATTGTTCCTTTTATAGCCCTGCCTAATCTTTGGCTGAAAGGTGAACTTCAGGAGTGAATTCAATTCTGAGTTAGACGGGCATCCAGGGGGTCTACTTTTTTTTTCAAGGGAGAGAAACTCTGCTCTGGATAAAATGAAATCAAACCAAACCAAATAAACACTCAGGAAATTAACCAACAAGAATGAACTATAAAATACATACATATCCTTTTTACCTCTGCCAAGAATGGTGGGATAAATTCCATCATTGCTACTTTCCCTATAACTCACTGGAAGGATTTTTTGGGGAAAAAAAAAAACCTGAAATAAAAATGTTCTGATCACTAGTAATAGAAATAGATGTATTTTAGGGCTCATTCAATATAATATATTATGATAATTCTGATTTATATGGTATTATTGAGGGATGAGGTTAACCTAATGTTATCTCAATTAAGTATAAAATTTTTTAAAAACTAAAGCATTAAGTGGAAATGTTATTAGAATAGATTGTACATTGAATAGAAAGTAAGCTGTTCTTGATGACTCAGAGTCATTATTATCACATCGAGATGCAACAGAATGATGTCCTCAGGAGAAAGTGAAGTATACAGGATGGTCTGTCCTTCTGAATAGCCCTTAAAACATTTGCGTGCCTATTTTAAAGTAAGTTTTCTGCCTCCTTTTTCCAGGTTTCCAATGGTCACTTCTTATTAAGTTAGTGTGTCTGATTCTAATTTATTTCTTCTTGTGCTTGTGATAATCAAGGTATCAAACATGATAGCATCGTATGTAAAGAGAGAATCACTAGGTGTCGAGTGAGAGCTCTAAGAAGCTCCCCCAAGAGCTTAAATACAGAGAATGAATGGCATTTATTTCAGCAGCCCTGAAGTTTGATTTGCTTATATCTCAGTGTTTCGCTGTCCCCTGATAGTTGAGATCATTATACACGTTATTTACAGGTAAATCCAGATATTTTTGAACACTAAAACAATGAAGACAAGATGGCTTCTCTTTAATTTGCAACTCAAAGTAGCCACTTTGTACCATACCTGAAACATCAGCACTCACAGCCTCATTATGGACATTCTGTGCAAGTTTAATTTCCTCCGTGGCCATGATTCTGTTAAATGTTACTGAAATAAAAAGTACAGCATGCAAATCCATGAGCACAAAGCTTATGAAATTGGAAAAAAAAGTGCTCCACATTTATGGTATCAATTCTGTCCCCCATCATCTACTTCAGCAAAAGAAAGCTCATCACCTTCCATCATGTTGATGCATATAAAATGTAATAAAATGGAAAAGGTGGAGGAAACAAAATGATACCTGTAATAAAACACCAAAATTATGATTGCTTTTCATAGTCTATAAAAACTGCACATTCATTGAATTCAAGTTGCCATCAAATTGCTGACCCTTGTCCTAAGGGAGAAATTTACTGTATTTCTCATACCTGAAAGGAAAAGGTAGAATTAGCTCAGGGATGCTTTTTCCAGCATTAATAGAATCAATGTTTATACTGAATGAAACTATATAATCCCAGAAACTATGCATAATAAAAATACATCTTGCCAAATTTATAACCCTTTCACATTTCATCTATTTACTTTCAAAATGATCTCGAAAAGTCAAAGATTTGTATTCTGTTATTACAGTATAATTTCTCATAATATTCTTAGGCCAAGAAAACAAGTTTATAAAACAGGATAGCAATGTTTTCTGTCGTTTCTGCACTATTTCCCAAGTAACTCGAAACTCTTCCCAGATATTCATTCTCATTTGTGGTTGTTACCTGCTATTGAGTTGGCCCCCAATTCATGGCTACCCCATGCCCAATGAGACTGGACCACTGGGATCCATTAAGTTTTCACTGACTGATTGCCAGGTCCTTCTCCCTAGTCTGTCTTAGTCTGGAAGCTCTGCTAAAACCTGTTCATGAAAGCCTCCACTGACAGAGGGTAGTCACTGTGCTTCAGGTGCATTGGCTGGGAATCAAACCTGGGTCTCCCACATGGAAGGTAAGAATTCTACCACTGAATACCACTGTATCTTCTTCATTCTCATAAAGATTATTTATTAGAAAAAAAAATCCTAGATTGACAATCAAAGGCAAATATTTATATAAGGCCAGTTTTTGTTCTCTTGCATTGCCAGTTAAAATATATTTCCATTTTAAGTTGTGTTTCTTTAGGAAAATTAAATTTCATGTGCTTTTCTAGCTTATGCCTACTTTGGCACCATCTTATTAATTAGTATGCATGATCACCTAAAGTGTCATAATACCACGATGTCATATACTTTTACCTTTCTGATAGTTTTTCTAGCACCAACCACATTTTTGAAGCATTACTTTCTCTGCATTTTCATAAATTCTTAATCTTTGGAATTTGTATAGCTTTTATCAGTTTTTTCTTACAACATTTTGCCATGAAGCATTTCTGCATCTTTTTCTACATATTTATAACCAAGTTTTGACTGCCCTCCCTTCTATCCATTGAAACGCCCATACTCTGGAATAGTAGTTGTATTAAAGAAGTTACATGCCCTCTCTACTCATCCATCACAGCGTCAAATATTTCCTTAAAACTCAAAACATCTTTTTCACTTCTTGCTTCTTTCCAAGGTCTTATTCTTTAAAGAATTCACACCACCCAAAAAAATTCCAAGTAGAAAACATAAAACTGAATTTTTTCTTATTCCTTTTATCAACATTATAACAACAAATTTTTTCCTTTAAAAAGCCCTACATTTAATATTTCCATCATTTTCTTAATATTATTGAATTTATTGCAATAACAATTGCCATCTCTCTACTGGGACTTGGCCAGATTTATCCAAGAGGTTCAAACTACTGGGAGAGATCTATCCACTTTCAAAGAATCATTTCTCATGGTTTCACTTTTCATTTTGCTTACCTCTGAAACATAACCTACAATTTTAATGGCTCCTTATTCAAGTTTGATTGCTTTTGTGTATTTTTAGCTGCTTCTTTAGCTTAATTATTCTGTACTTGCTAACCTTAAATCCCATCATCACTGAAGAATTGGATATTTTGAAGCTTCAGTAATACTGTCTTTGCTGCCACCATTATAATATTGCTTGTGAATGTAATTTGCTGGGCCTGACATAAAAATGTCCTCTGCTGAATTGTCCTTAAATCAGTTACATGCATTCCTTTGTAGAACGGATTGCCAGTGTATACTGCAAAGTACTGCCTGTGACTTTGTTTTTCCCAATTTACCCTTCTAATCATGGAATGTTAGTGAAAAGTTACAAAAAAATATATCAATATAGTTTACTGTGTAGAACAATGCATTTCTAATCATTTTATGCCTTCCTACCTACACTATCTTCTAAGTGCTTATATGGGTATAATTTTCCATTTAATCCAAGTCATCAACTACTTACTGAGTGCTCATTAGCATAAAATATTGAACAAGGCAAAGGGCACTAGAAAAAGAAGCATAAGTCATAGTCCATACTCAACAGGTTTACAATTTCAAAGAGCCAGGACAGAGAATGCTCCAGTACTGGAATACAAAAAATAGAAATTTTTCTTCCTGATCTTCTAAATAAGACACTGTTGCCTATAGGCATTCTTTGATTTGGTATTTGCCAGTGTGATTATTTGCAAATGACTCCCCAATATTATACACACAGTAGTGAGCATGCAACAAGTAGCAATTGCAATTTTGTTGAAGAATGATTCTCATAACCTAAATCTCAACACATTATTGTTCTTTACTCATAATGCATATGTTTTATGAGGAAAATTATATGCTGCAGTGAAATGAATAATTTGAGAATAAAGAATATCTCTAGACATATCCTTTGAAAATCTCAACAGTCTATGTAATATTTTGTTTTTCTTTTCTCATACACCCCTTCTCTCATCAGTTTCTTATGAACAGTCTTTTCCAAATGAATCACTGCTGCGATATGCTGGAAGGGACTAATTCTGCAATCATTTTACTTGATGTTCAACAAACATTATGGCAATATGTCAAGCTATATGCTAGGGCTGGGGACTCAAAGATTAATCAGACACTGTCCCTGTTCTGGAGGAAATCACAGTCTAGGGTCATAGTGTTGTTGGGGCGGGGTAATTAATTAATTAATTAATTAATTAATCTTAAGTCACTCCCCTTCAATGTTTGATATCATAAATCTTATATATGCAATTTCAAAGATCCTCCATGTCTGTATTTTACAAGAAAAAGATCATTATTTTAAGATCAGGAGAAAAATCTTCTCATTCTAATTGTTTGAAATTGAAAATCTTCCTTTGGTTACCTGGTTTCCTCTGCAGAAGACAATGTTTATGTTTTTATTTTCTTCCAAAAAAACCAAACCAAACCCATCGCTTTCGAGTCGATTCCGACTCATAGTGATCCTATAGGACAGAGTAGAACTGCCCCATAGGATTTCCAAGCAGCGGCTGGTAGATTAGAACTGACAACCTTTTTGGATAGCAGCCATAGTTCTCAACCACTGTGCCACCAAGGCTCCTTTATTTTCCCAAAGCCTTTGGAAAACATTTCCCCCGGATAAATAGTATTATGCTTTAAAGAGTTTCTCTATCCCTTAGTCTGCTTTCTTTTCATCTCTCATTTCATTTCTCTACTTTTCCTTATAGATGACCTCTTTCCACAAGTCTTAACAACATTACTAATCTCCCATATACTGGGTTTCTGTTTGAACATTTGCATCATGCCCTAATTAGTAATGACAGTATTTGATAGATGCTGGTGAAGTCTACAGGGCAGTGGGCATAGCGTGGTTAAACATAAGACACCTAGCACAATATACCTCCCTGAACAAAGACTAAATTCATTATAAAATGATGAGTTTTGTTCTTCTTTCAATGTACAGTAGGTTCACATTTATACAGTTTTAAAAGTCTTGAAAACTTGGACAGAAAAAAATTACTATAGGACAGTTCCATCACACAGTTTGTCTGCTGAATTGTAAAACAAGAGAAGAAAGCATAAGTAAATTCATGTGCAAGAAGGTCTTTATTGTTATAACTACTGAGGTTACTACACAAAGGTTACTTTAAAAAGAGTTAATGGTGTATTCATGGATTATAGACCACAAATGTTAGGGTTTTTGTTGTTGTTGTTGTTCCACAACTCAGAATTAATTTTCCTTAAGAAATAATGTTATAAGTAGTGGTTGTGGTGGACACTGTGATGTGCTGGTGTGATGGTTAATGTTATGTGTCAACTTGGCTAGGCCATGTTTCTCAGTGGTTTGGCAGATATCATGTAATCATACTCCATATTATGATCTGATGTGACCAGCCAATCAGTTGAAAATGGAGTTTCCTTGGGGGTGTGGCCTGCATCCTATATATATGGATGTTCTGGCAAAGCTCACTCTCTCTTGATCCTGCATCTGACTCATCATCCTCTGACCTCTGCTTCTTGGGACGTGAGCAAGCAGCCAGCTGTCTGACCTGCCGATTTGGGGTTCATCAGCCCCTGTGACCACGTGAGTCAGGAGAAGTCTCCAGTCTTGACACCTGACCTACCTCCACAACTGCATGAGCCATTCCCTTGAAATAAATCTCTCTCTATATATGTACATAGACGCTTCACGGGTTTTGCTCCTCTAGAGAACCCAGCCTAAGACAGCTAGCCATGTCCCCCAGTGATCAGGTAGGTAGAATAATGCTCCCCCAAACATATCCATGTCCTAATCCCCGGTATCTGTGAATATGTTACTTTACATGGCAAAAAGAATTTTACAGATGTGGTTAAGTGAGATGGGAAGATTATCCTGGACTATCTGGGCAGGTCCAATGTAATCACAAGGATTCTCATAAGACGGCAGCAAAAGGGTCAGAGTCAAAGAAGGTGGTGTAACAACAGAAGCAGAAGTAAGATAGAGATTTGAAGATGCTACACTGCTGGCTTTGAAGATGGAGAAAGGGGCCACAAGACAAGGAATACAGGTGGTCTCTATAAGCAGGAAAAGGCAAGGAAATAAATTCTCCCCAAGAGCCTCCAGAAGGAATGCAGCCCTGCCAACCCACCTTAGACTTTTCTGACTTTCATAACTGTAAGAGAATAAACTTGTGATTTTTATGCCACTATAAAGTTTGTGGTAATTTATTTTAGCAGCAATAAGA